CTACTTGGGAGGCGGAGGCAGGAGACTCGCTTGAGCCCAGGAGTTGGAGGTTGCTGTGAGCTGTAATGCCACGGCACGCTACCCAGGGGGAGAGCTTGAGGCTCTGTCTCAAAAAAAAAAAAAAAAAAAAAGAAATGTTATCAGTCCCCCAAAGGCTCTCATTTCCCATCCCGTACTCCTGTTTCACATAACAATGATTTTGTCTTTTTTTTTTTTTTTTTTTGCAGTTTTTGGCTGGGGCTGGGTTTGAACCTGCCACCTCTGGTATATGGAGCCAGCACCATACTCCTTTGAGTCACAGGCGCCACCCTTGTCTTTTTTTTTTTTTTTAATTCTTAAAATACGTACGTCAAAATTGTCCTGTTTATGTTGATTGATTGACTACTATCACCCAGGCTGTAATATAATGACACAGTGGTAGCTCACTATGGCCTCAAATTCCTGAGTTCTTGTTTTTGTAGCTTTATAAGTAAAATTATACATTCTGTACATAGAACCTATTTGTTTTTCAGTAGTCAGTAATCAACACCATTAAGTCCTACTATAAAATAGGCTTTGTGCTAGATGATTTTGCCAATTTTAGGTTAATGTAAATGTTCTGAGCCTGTGTAGGCTAGGTGTATTAAATATATTTTTAACTTACAGCGTAAGTTAAAAAAGCGTTAACCATAAGTTAAGAGAGCATCTATCTGTACATGGAGTAATGTGGGTGGACCCAACAGATATAACACTGAGTGAAATAAGCCTAAGACAAAGTAATGAATGTATGGATCAAATCAAAATTCTAAAGTGAAAAATAGGCAAAAATATTCTATGGTGATAGGAGTCAGAATAGTACATTAATTTGGGGAGAGGTGGATAAGAGAGTATGAGATTCTTATAAGGTCATAGAAATGTTTAGATTCTTAATCTAGGTTGTAGTTAATATGTGTTCATTTATACATAAAAATTCATCAATATACTTAAAATTTTTGTGTGCTTTTGTTTGTATAATAAAAGTAACATTACTTAAAGAGTTTGAGAAAACAGATTAAAAAGTTTGAGGAGTCTGGGATAGGTAGGATTTGTGAGACAAAGTAACAGAAGTGACTGTGCAGGAAAAACTCCAGCTATCTGCATAGAAATCCCTTAGATAGTTGACTGATTACCAAAACTGTGCATGCATAGGGTGAAGTTGGATAAGACTAGATGAAAAAAACCTTCCCAGGGACTGTGTGCAAAACAGTTCTCAAAATGCAAGGCTGGGAGATACTGAAGTTCCAAACAAGGCCCATTGAGGTGGCTCAACGCCTGCAATCTCAACGCTTGGGAGACAGAGGCAGTGGATTGCTTGAGCTCAGGAGTTTGAGGCCAGCCTGAGCAAGAGTGAGACCCAGTCTCTAAAAAAATAGCT